GGCGCATAAAGCTGACAACCTCACCGCCATCTGTGAGCCGATTGTCTAGAAAATGTGGGATCCTCAACATCTCACAACCCTGTGGGCCTCCACGGCCTGCTACAGGGATACCTTTACTTTTTACCTCTTAATACAAGTCTAAAGCATTACTGCTATACCAACCTGATCAATCAGTGATGTTTCAAATCAAAATGTGATATATGAAAGTAAAGTAGAGGTATCCCTGTAATTGGCCGTGGAGGCCCATAGGGTTGTGAGATGTTGAGGTTCCCACATTTGCTAGACAATTGGCTCATAGATGGTGGTAAGGTTGTCAGCCCTATGCGCTGGCTGCCCTTTACCCCCAAGAATATTCCTGGTACTCATTTCTGTTACAGGCTGAGTCGACCCCAGGGCCATACTGCGGCTGGAAGGCTTAGGTCAATTGAAAAAATCAAGTTACCTCATCAGGACTTGAACCCACGACCTGCCGGCTTGTAGCATAATGCCTCAACCAACTACGCTACTGCATGCCCCAAATGTGATATACCGGTATATAGTTATTCTTTTCTCCATACCCATCCCAATTTTCTTGATTTAATCAGTTTAATCACATTACTAACAATAGGCAAAAAGCACCAATTATAATGCTGCTCATAATGTAAGATTTGTAATTCTGTTATTAGTTCTTGTGTTTAATATCAGATATTCATCCCAGCCAAGACAAACCTTGCATTCTGCATTGGTGTTCATGTTGCAGTATACAAACAATAAAATACCTCTTACCATGCCAAGAAAAACACTTGCAGCAGCATTGACAGATTCACAGACAGTGGTTCCCATCAAGACTTGAATAAGCCAACCCAGCTTTATAACAACCCACTGCATGATACCATAATAATACAAAATCTGCACCACAAAGCTCAGGAAAAATATGGCTGACAGTGGCTGTAATGAAAGCAAACAAGATGTTAAACAGCTGATGAGATGACCTGTAAATGCATTATGAATAATGTAACTGGATGAATCTCAATTTAGATTCTAGTGACTGTTTCCATGTTACAGAGAAGGAGCTGATTCATGATTACATTCGGGGTGCTCATTAACAATTACCAGGAGAAATGGAGGCTTCCAAGCCAAGGGAAGCTCTTAAATAACAGTTTACATGTGCTGAATGTCAGGTTTTGTAAAAACTGAATGTTTGTGAGGAATAAGGATTTGGGTTTTCAATGGATTTTACCCTGAAAAATTACTGGGACAGCGATGAGGAGCTTATCTGGTTCACATCTAAAAATTATAAAACTGTTAGTAGTCTAGGTGACAACATAAACTGGGAATAAAAGAGTAATTGATTACACTGAATTAGAGAGTACAGGACATAGATAAATAATTATGCACACCTCTTTTCTAACACCATTCATTATTTCATGTATGTTTACATGACAAAACCTCATTACTTTCACTTTATGTTTAATCTGGTACCTGGTATAGCAGTGAGTAGAATTATCTAACATATATGTGGAAGAATTATGAAGAGAGGAAGACTTTATGAAGTAGTAGAAGTACACTAAGGAGAAAGAAAAATAATTTTTGTAATTTTGTAATTTTTGTAATTTTTGTGTTTTCTATGGTGCTGAAACATGCACATGAACCAAAACAAAATGCAGGGTGTTGAGATGAAACTGTGAGAAGCTGGACTGGAATATCAGTATGGGATCAACTTGCTCTATAAAAATACTATTTGCCAGCTTCTTACCAGTGCCCTGGGTTCAATCCTAGGGTAATCCATGTCAGATCTGTGGTGGAAAAAATGTCACTAGGGAAGGTTTTGCTTCAAATACCTCAATTTTCCCCTGCCAGTTATTATTGCACCAACACTCTATTCTCTCATCTTTTATCCAGGACTAGCACAATTGTTTCACTTGCAGTCTAGGCAACAAGAAACTCGATGCCACCACACCACAAGAATAAACAAAATGGTACTCATTTGTCTGTGCACATTTAATCTGTACAGAAGGTAATATGACACCCACTGCAAAAGAGATCAGATCACTAACAGAAGATATGGTACCTTCACTATATAATATAGTCACTGCCACAGATTGTGCCATGTCATGTTATACATTATATCCACAGTAAAAGAAGATGTAATAGATGTTCCCTGATTCAATGTAGATCTGTAGTTTATTCATAATACTACAGTATTGCAATTAATGGTACACGCTATTCCTAAGTCTAATGTATGTATTTTGTGGTCTACCTTATGCTGTGGTCACTTCCTTATAGTTCCATACTGTTTATAGTCAGACACACACTACAACCCAAATGATGATTTTGAAATATTATGGAAAATACTACTAACTTCCAGGAGAGTATGTAGCCAGTACTGATATTTTAGGATGATTTTAAGGTTCTGGTGAAAGTAAAGCAGTTTCGTGCCATAACAGCCCCAAATAATAGAGTGACAAAGATATATATGGTAGTTATGTTAAACCATCATCACAACAATGTATATTCACTTTCAAAGTTAAAAATTAAATCTTTATTTTGCTACATGTTTTGGTCACACAGGACCATCATCAGGCAATTAATATGAAATATGTCTAGTCATTGAATTGAACATTAAGAATGAGTATACGTTTGTTGTGGTGATAGTTTAACATAACTGCCATATATAAATGTATGTCTGGAACACACAACAGGATGCATACTATGAAGATAATACAGTGAAATCCTGGAAATTTCTGACAGTGGGTAAATCTATAAAAGCCAAAATGGCAAATGAATCATGAATATCAACAACATGATTCCAATCAGCCATGTAATTTTTAATTCTTCTTTCATTAGCTTCTTTGTTGTTACAATACATGAATCGAACTTGTGTAAATGAAAATATTATTTGGTTCATGCAGCATGCTCAGTGACTTCCAAGGTAGTCAAATCTTTACAGGATATGTTGTACAGACCAAGACTAGAGCAGTTCTGGCATATTATATGCTAAGGAAATGACATGTACCAAAAGTAGCTTTAGATATGGAAACAAATTCAGGATCCATGGGTATACCGATTTCATATGTGATACAAAATTACTTTCCTGTAGAGTGTAGAACAATAAGTGGCTAATCGAGTCTAATCCATGTAGAGATTCTCTTCAAATCTCAGTCTTGTTATTTCACATTCTTTGTCACTAACACATGAAAGATGAGCAACATCACTGAGCAGATCAGTTCAGTGGCACAGTACTTATCTTACAAGTATATATTGGAAGTACCCAGTTCAGATATGGTTATTCTGAATGGACTTTGTAATGTGTTTCTCTAGTCTTCACCACGAAATGTTGGAACAATGTGTTAAAATAAGCTATAACCATTTCCACATTGTACCCAAATTACTAATTAAGAAAAAAATAATAATTTCTGATTAAATGCTGTAATATCTGTAGTGGTACAATTGTTAAATAACTGAAAGAAACAGTTTGATTAGTTCTCATAACTTCTATACATACTGATTACCTCAGAATGCCCATAACTTCTGCAGATTCACTTGCAATAAAATTTATATTCTTCGTGAGATTACTGCTTTTCATTAAGTTAAACATACTCCATACAATTTTACATTCTTTGCTCTGAGTACATGTCCACTACTTCTATGTTTTACAAAATCAGTATTAGCTACTTATAAAAATCTACACTTTATACAACCCTGTAAAAACGGGGAAAACAATCATTGTTTATAATTTAACATTTTGAAGCACAATAGAACGACACCATTGCAAGTTGTAGCCCATAAGACCTGTGTTTATTTCATAAACTGGATGGGCTATACACTCTGTCATTTAATAAGATAATAGTCACTTCTATACATATTTTGCAGCCTGCTGGCTTTACCATTGTTATTACCGTAATTTTATCAACAAGTAAATTAAACTACAGATACCACTCTCCTCTGACTGTTGCATGTGGAAAGAGCCATGACAGTGATCAGAAAAACAATTATAATAATCGCATTACCAATACTATCACTGTTGCTATCGGTAAAGCCTAATTACAAATTCCAAGGGTTACCAGCTTTGTATTTTTTTTACAAGGATGTTACATGTGCACACTCGGTTAGGCATTTTAGTACATCGGTGTTTTATGTTATAAGACTACATTGTAACATACCTAATAAGAGTGAACCTACAAAAGTAACTAAATTTTAAGGTACAGAAACAAAATATACATACCTGAAATGCAAATATGCCTTTATCAATCAAATCACTGCCATAAACAAATCTTGCTCCCTCATTGCTATAACCAAGAAATATAGCTACTCTGTCACCAATACACTGAATGATGTTACGTCCAACAGACCAACGAATGGTAATCAGTCCAAGTAAAAACTGCACAGCTAAACCACTCAGAACTGGATGCCATTGTATCTGAAACACTACAGAGCTCAGCAAACCTGAAGACTTCATGTTAATTCTGAACTGCCATTCTGAACTGCCAGCACATCAATATTCTTGTTTACTACCAAAATACAAAAATAAGAAAATCATAATCAAGAAATACCTGATGATCATTAACATCTATACAGATTTAATCTCACTATGCATTGTATTTAAAAATAAACAACAATTTTTTTTAAACATGTTTCTTGGTATGTAAGTTTTGAGGTTTTCACGGCGATGACTATGAAGAAAGTCGTCTTCTGGGTTTAGGCGCTACTGCTACTGCATTCCAAGCCATTCAACTGCTCTGAAGATGGAGGCGATACGTTCCTCCGAAACGTCGACCAAAACGAAGAATACACGGCGCCTAAACCCAGAAGACGACTTTCTTCACGTTTCTTGGTAGTCTCATACTCTGTTTCAGCCTCAACATTGAAATATGCGGTGCAAAAGCAAATGTGCTCATATTCATCAATTATTTGCCAGTAAGCACCAACTCTTTGCCAGTGTGCATACTGGCTGAAAAAATGCACAGGTAATAAAAATATTTTAGTTCTAATCACTATGAAATAATGTTTAGTCACTAAGTGGAACTTCTATTCTCTATATCCAAGTAAATTCCACTCCAAAAGAGCAGCCAAAGCTGATGGGTAACTTTTGCCACTTTGTACCAATGCGAGCTGTACTTTTTCAAATCCACAATTTCGAGCCAGAAGACATAACAACATCAAGTTTTTCTTCGATCAGTAAACGTCTCCTTTGAGATTTCTCTTTGTCCATCACAGATTGCAAAGGACAATTTTATTACAATATTATGAATTACTGCATTACACTGCACTGAATTTTAAGGATATTTCATATAAACATTTCTATGGCATTTCTTCCATGAAAAACACTCTATGAAGATATCATATCAGAATAATTTTAGTTCAACTCTGTGTACCGAATTTTGGAAACCATACTTCACAACACTGCAAACTGTACTTTTATCTGTCACAAGGACAACTGCCCACAGTAAGCATCAGCACTATCAAGATGAAGCAGCAAACATGAGGTGATGAAGCAGTGTTCCAATGGCAAGCAGCGGACAGGCATGGGTGAACAAATATCTAGTAACCCAGCCTAATGATAAACTGAACTCCCTCTAGGTAACGAAATTGTCATGTAATTGAGTGTGACTATAGGTGGGGTTTGGACTGGTAATCGGATTTATTGCACACTTACACATACAACTTGTAACTACAAGTAACTAATTCACACACACTCTGCAATTCACTATAGCATATACAAAGTCTTCTTAGTCTGTTGTACTTCAATGGTTGTCACCTGGTAATGGCTTCCAAGGTGTAGCTTCCTCAGCTTCTGTGTTCACATCCTTACTGGCCAGCAACTGTCTCAAAAATCACTCATTGCTCCATCTGACTAACTCCCAGGCTGGCAGCCATCTCACACCAAACTCCTACTCTTCTCACTGCTGTCTCAAGACTCTTTCATAATTGCACATACTCCTTATTATATAGCCTTGGCACAGACTGCACAAAAACACTCCTCCCAGTAGTTCTTCTACTGTTGGATCATGTAGCTATCGCACAAACAACATGGAGAACACTGCTTCCCAGTTACTTCACTGTTGCATGTGACAAATCTGTTGCAGCCATTATCTATCAACAGCTGTTGTACAGCTGCTTATTTCATGGCCATTGCCTACCAACAGGTCTGGAGGCCAACACTGCCCTAACACTTAGACCCCATCATGGCTCAACCTGCTGTAAGAAGGAAATCTGAAACTTGTTTCAAGATCAAAAAGTTATATTTGCTAGGTCGGGGGACAAAGTTGCTTGCATCCGTGACATTCTTTAAGTCATACGTGTCCCCTGGGTAGTGCAAAATGAGCAACAAACCTGGCAAAGCTTCCCAAAAGAAAAGTGCAAACTTCTTCAAGATGCAAGAGGCAAGAAGCGAAATGGGTTAAATGATCCCAAGTGCAGCCATTGGAAACAAACCAACCAACATTTGCTAAGTCATCCAGAAACTAAGCTGCTGGTCAGGAATTTGATATAACAGAAAATATGGTATGAGACTGGAAGAGAAAAGAAGACTTGCTGAAGAAAAGGATCACATTTTTCAAAAGCCCACAACCAAAACATTTAATACAATTTTGGGGGGGGGGGGGAAAGGCAGAAGAAAATTTGTAACTAACTGCCCTATGAGAAAAGCAGAGAAATTTATTAATATTACAGGAATGAGATAACTCAGATAACAAATTTATTACATACAGATTAAAAAAAAAGGAAAACACTACTCAAACTCATACATTCAGTTCACTTACTAATTTTTGTATTTTGTAACAAACATTCTTTTTTTACTACTTAATAATTTTAATTTAAGTAAAGAAAAAAACATTCAAAACTTCAACTTGTGCACAAAAACATAGACAATGAAAATTGAACAATGATAACTCACTTGCCACTCCACACTGCCAATCAGCCTACCACACTTATGCCTTTCACCCAGTGCTACCGGCTGCCAGGTTAGGTGAGATTCTCATTGTAGGAAGTCAAAATGTTTGTACATATTGTCAAAAATGTATTTCTATGGCTTCAAAAACCCAGGCCATTTTGTCTCCCAAATAAAATCTATGGGACACAGGGACAGAGCTATGAAAAACTAATAAAACCAGGGCTGTCCAGGGAAAATCAGGATGAATGGGGCTCCTATCCATGAATCTTGCCTCCTTTATGACATATGCCCATTATTTTATATTATTTGCCTTCTGCCTCCATCTCTTCATTTCCAGCATTCCTTAATCACTTTCTGCATCTTCCAACCACCTCAGTCTGGACCATCTCATTTTTATTCTACCTTCTTGATTACTTTCAAACATTTTCTCAGCCACCCTTGTAACATCCAGTATACTCGCATGGGAGGCAGTCATTCACCCCCAAATTTGTACCATGGATGGTTACGCTTGCAGACACAATTCGTGACAGTATATAAATAAGAAAATAGCTTGCCATATTATTCTAATCAACATACCTGAGCACGGTATTTTGAGAATATAAATCCCAGACCCATGATCAAAACTGTCCCAAGACATGAAATAAGTCTTTCACTACTGCCAATGGTATCTACACCGAGATACACAACTATTGCAACAAATGGTAACAAGCATATCACAGCTTTCCTATACCTGAAACAAAGACAATGAACATACAAATATATAAATACTGTAAGTTGGATGGTCAGAGCATTTCTAGGCAACGACCTGTAAACAACCTTCAGTTGTGCAAGCGCACTTAGCACTTTTACATACCAGACGATGGGTGAAGTCCAAAATAAGCCAAAAGAAGTACAGTATACACCATCGTCAGAATCCTTTCAAGTCTATCTGAGTAACCGGTATGGACCCAGTATTTACCCTTCTTTTAGGAAATTGGAATACCTAAAAATCAGTTTGGCCAAAACCCTGAACCATATAACCTTTCTTATGAGTGCAAATCCCTAGGCATTATTCCCAAGGGCCTCTCAGTTAAGATGCCGTATAGTGGTCGGCGTTCTTTCAAGATTGCCCAACGGGCCAGTATGGCTCTCCTCAGAGATAGGATCCATGCTCATTGGAAGAATAAGTCTCCACAACTTCAGAAGATTCAACAACTAGAGAATTTTCTCAGGTCATCAATTAGTAGCTCAGACCAACAGCATGTCTTTACTGCTGTGGAAAGTTCATTTAGAAACATCTTCAATAAGCAAAAAGGAATCCATATTTACAAGTTCTCCATGCTCAAGAGTCGTCGTGACAAGGTCGGGTCTGACCCAGCTAGTGGTTCTAAAAAAATTGTTCTCAATCTCTCAGAGTACGCTCTTACAGACCACAAGGAGTCAGTCCATAGGAAGGGCTTGATTTTTTCCATAGTAAATCCACATTTCAACTTAGATATGGCATGTGCTGTTGAATCGGTGGTTACAAAACTCCCACACATTTTAGGAATGGAATTCAGATGGAAGGTCAGGTCTATGTTGCAGAAGTCCAAGTCACCCACCTCCAACATAAGCAAGAAGGAGTTGAAAGCTGTGAAGTCCCTGAGGCTCAACAAAGCTATCAGGA